AAAAACAACGGATTGCTCTCAACGAGATCTCGCGATTGGTGGTATATTTTTTGGTCCTAGGTCAACATTTGACCTAGTTATGACCGGTCAAAGGTCAAATTTTCCGAAAAAATCAAACTTTTTTCAACTTTCCGCGGCGATTGCGGCAAAACGGTGGGAGATATCGACTTGAAACCTTCACTATCGTGTTCCTTGATCAATTCTCTATCGTTTGGTATGTATTTCGTTTCCCTAGCTCTAGAAATGGCGCGTTGGGAGCGCCGGAAGTCGGGAAGGTCACAGTCGGCGGCAGAAATTCGAAAAATCAAAATTTAAATTTTTGAAATCTGATTGTATTTTTGGATTTGGGAGGTCCATTTGCTCCCTATAGAAGCTAATATTGCTGCATATTCCCATTGAGGTGACAAGAATTAGCAAAATAGTGGTTCGGGCGCTTTTCAAAAATAGTACCGGACGCTGTTCCTCTTGTGACGTCATAGCTCCGTGACCTGACCTGACCCGGTCAATTTTCTTGCACCACACGATAGCCAATGCTTGCCCCAACATGCATGGGAAGTTTCATCATGATCCATCAAACAATGTGGGTAGCACCGGCAGAAAACCTAGGGATTCGGCGCACACGTTTGGTAACTGTCGGCCGGAGGCTGTACCTCTTATGACGTCATAACTCCGTGACCTGACATGACCCGATCAATTTTTTTTCGGCAAAAGATGCGCAAAGGTTGCCCCAGAGGGTATTGAAAATTTCAGCCCGCTACGACAAGCCGTTTAGCGTGCACTTCGAAAAAACCTCAGGGGGGGTTGATACAACCCCCCCCCCCCTAGGCGTTCTAGGGTTAATCTGCCAAATGAGATGCCGAGCCAGTGAAATAGGTGGATTTTTCACTAACATGCTTTCTTCCTTTGTGACCCACAACCCCTAATTTGGGGAGGACAAGCTGCTCAACGGTTCCTGGCCTCATGAAACGTTGTGGGGCACCGCCCCCACGGCCGCAGAGTTGTGGGGGGCAAGCTTCCCCCACTGCCCCCTCCCCCGGTTCCCACGCCTATGTATGAATCTATGAAATTATGTTGGTAGATTTCCGATTTCGATTCCTCCAGCTGGGGGGGCTCAAATACATTACGAGCCCCCCCAGCCGAAAAGCTGGGGGGGCTCAGCCCCCCCTAGCCCCCCCGGTTCCCGCGCCACTGATCTCGTCTCGGCTTTTTTAGATGCTCGTATCATGATTATTTCAGCTAAATAGTCGTTTCGCATAAACCTACCTATAATTCTATGAGATTTGGAAATAAGCATCTATCACTTACCGTTTCCGCCAAGCATTTTGGTATTCTGGTTCATCACATCGCCGTAACAGATGCATGATATCTCCGTTACAAATTAATCGATGTTTAACCTACCTGACCGTGAACAACCGTGATCTGACTATAGATCGAACCGCATACATCAGTATCTACCTATACCTGTATCTTACAGTGTACCTACGTATTTTTAGGGATGCACCCGCATGCCTACCTGTACCAATACCATTGGTAATAGGCATTTGACCTCGTTATACATGATCTGTGATTCAACATCATTATTTTCTGTAAGATCTAATAGAATCATATATCATAGACGCCCCAGTGTGGTCGTGAGATCCACTGCAAGACCACAGATCCAACACTCTGTCCTTCGAACAGGTCTATCCGCGTCACCTGTAGGCTGATGCTGATTGTATCACCCATAACAGATGCATAGCGTGTGGTCGGTTGTACGATTCTCCGCTCCCCAGACACAGTAGTTCCTACGCCAGCTGGCTCCGAGTCAAACACGCGGCTTTGCGACGCGTGTGCTCTGTTGCTGTCCCGCACAGTGCAGCCTTGGGTCTCGTAGTGGCGTGAGTGGTTCGTGATTATGGTGAAAGGTCGGCAATTATATAGATGTTAATTTTTGTTTAGGTTATTGTTGAGGGCACGAAGTTAAACGCGTTGAATGTCAATATCAACTTAATTCATGGTTATTACTGATAATATTGCCTTACCAATAGTTACTGAGTGGCGCTGGGTGTGAACACCGAGATGCACCAGCTGGTAAGACTGCTGCAACTGTGGTGTCATCTCTCCTTCTTATCCCGCGCCCCAGTGGCGGTCTCAGCCAACTTCGCCCTAGTGAGGGGGGGCATATGTTACCACCCACCTCTAACTCAAAAACTAAGAGGGCTAGAAAGACGCGGTAAAAAGCAGTCGATAGCTCTCAATGCGTACGTTTGAAAGTATTTCAGTCATTTTTCACCTTAGAGCAATATTGGGGTCACCAGAGGTCATCAAAGGTCAAAATTTGCCAATTGTCATTATATTTTTCAGAAAACATGCCGCTATCTCAGAAACTATGGTAGCTAGAATAACGCAGGAAAAAGCAATCGATAGCTTTTGAACTCTTCTTTTGAAAAGGTCATTATCAATATTGACCTCAGGTCAACGGTTTGGCCTCCAGAGGGCAAAAAGTCCAAAAATAGCTGTTTTTACGAAAAATGTTTTTCGACAATAACTTTCGAGTACAAAAAGCCACGACATTTCTATTGCCAGAATCGTGTTCCTCTCGCCGAGACGCGTCGAATGAACTATAATTTGACCTTGAAAGGTCAAGTTGAAAATTTGACCTCAGGTCAAGGTCATGACCTTACCGGAAAAGGTCATGTTGCATATCAGTCGATGCGTCTCAACAAGGCAAACACAATGAGACCAACCCCAGCGTTCTATCTCTTTCCAATCGCGAGTTATTGGCAAAAAACTGTTTGTAGCCTCAAGTGACCTCGGATGACCTGTCTAGAGGCTATCAGCAAAAATGACACCTTGGTCATCACGAGTGGACTAAATCATTGTGATTCTGAAATATTTGGACTGTTCCGATGCGTACACACGGATCTAGAGGCATTTTCATTTTTCTCCATTGACTTGTAATGGAAAGGTCACGCCACTGACCTGACCATAGGTCACGGATATAAAAAATCCGAGATATACAAATTGTAGGCGCCCATAACAGCATGCAATCCACCAAGTTTGAAACCTTTCTGACAAACACTGCAGGCTGGACATGATTGCAAACTTTTTTTAGGCTTGGTCAGTTAACTTGACCTGGTGACCTGACCTGACATGACCTGGGGTCAAAAATTTCACACATTGTCCAAAATCGATGTACCAAAAGCTACCCCAAGCGGCGCGGCGCTACGCGCCGCGGTTTTTTATTCACACGCAAAAAACGCGACAGGGTGGTAACATATGCCCCCCCCCCCCCACTGGGGCGAAGGTTATGGAACTAACCAATTCGCAATCGCTTGATCGTTTAAAAGTAGTGTGCCACCTTTGAAAGATTTCCCATTTTATTTTTCCTAGGATAAGAAGCTTATGTTTTTACCTAATATCGCAAAAAAAAATCAAAAATGGGCCTGGAATAGTGCCTTTTTCGCCTAAAAGTTTTTCGGTTTTTAGATATGTATAACAACTGTAGTGGGCTCACCTGCAAACAGGCGTCGGGCAACAATCGCGAATGCGGCGCACTTGTGACAATAAGCAAAGGTCATTATAGTGTTACGACCATACGACGTACGGGAATGAGTTATCAGCTGTCTAATCGTAGACAACACAATGTCGAGCCTTAAACTGTAAGCCCGTATTGGTATTGTTTCTTTTATTTGGCTGTCGAACATTATTTATGGTTTGAAATATGATTTTATGTAAAATAATTGATATGAAAAAGCCGTCTTATAAGTTATGACCCCATTTCACCACACGCAAGTGGCAGAAATGACAATGATCAGCTGACGCATTTTTCTTGGCCGAAGTCAGAGCGCGCGGCCCGACGCACCACGCGTATTTGGAAATTCCGACCTCGACGAGCATCAGAAGCCACCTAACAGGCGTGTTCGAAACCGCAGGAGATGATGATGAACGGGTTTATCGAAACTTGATTGGATGAGCATATCGGTAATAGCGATTTCAGTGTGTGCATTTATTGTTCATAGTGGTGTGAAATGTGGTTGGGGTACGACCGACAACCCGTCGGGGCGAATTTCGCACTGGGGTACTCAAAATTTGAAGAATTTAAGACGTTTCCATGAGTTTTGAAGGTATGGATAAGTTCTAAAAATCCGGTTCTCCTTATCTGGGCCATTAACTCCATACGGTCCAAGAAAGCTGGCACACTACCTTTAATCACTACCCCTTCCATCCTGCAGACTGACTGACCTGGACCTGACACACTGTCCTGTCCTGACTGCCGTTCAACCCGCCAGACAGTCTAGGAACCGAAAAGGAACCTCTCTAGTCTCTACGTGGTGACCGACTGAGTGGGCAGGTATGGAGATGTCAATCGGATGCAAACTTCTTGGTATAGGTACCGATACCAAACAGATACCAACTTGTTATTTGGTATTTCAATCCTAATGTTTTTTTTGTATTTTGTTGGTACCTATTATGAATCCTCACTAATGTATAAGAGGCTGTGAATTTGGTAAAAGTTGGTATTTTTCTGGTATTCCGAAGTTGGTTTGGTTTCGATATTTTTCCATGGCTTTGCTTGGTATTTGGTTTGGTATCGGTATTCTCATTTTCTGTAATTGACATCACTAGTAGGTACGGTGACCTGTTCACACCGGGATAACCCCGTCTCAGCGGAATGGGCTTAGTCACTCCACTGCGTCTATCGACGGTCGACTCAGTCCAATATCTACCCCCTGCCCTATTATCGCATAACATGGCCCTGCAAAATTATCTTTGTAGATCGAAAGTGTATCTTACGACACACCCTCCACTCCCCTCAAAGAAGCACTGATGCTCAAGTCATAAATAGTAATCGACTTATCACATTATTCCTCTCGTGGCTCGCGCTTTCACTTGAGAATGACCCAGCTTGACATTTGACCCGCGCGGAGAGCTGAGGACTTCAACCGCCCGTACGAAAGTTTCATGGCCTTGGCACTTTCTCTCGCCGTCTCGCCCCTCCCCGTATGAGGCGTGACTCGTCCCCGTGCGTAGGTGCCGAGTGCTCTGGAGCTGGTGTGCGTGGGAGGCACCGTGTCTGGAGACGGTCCGTGAGCTGTGACGACCTTGACCACCGTCCGATACGAATTAATTTGGGTGCTGTGGCCTGTGATGACGCATTTCCCGGCAAAATTCCAGAATCCGCAGAAAACGTTTGCTGTAAGTAATCAGTGGGCAGTTACCAGCTGAATACCTTTATTCATGGCGTCTGAGCGGCCTGGCCTCACTGGTGAGACTCCGACACCGCCCGATGGCGCCGGGGCGGCAGCGGCTGCCGACTGCTACTCCCTGACCGAGGTCGTCACCACCTCACAGCTCCTGGAAGGTGAGGAATAGGGCCGATCGCCGGGAGTCCCGGGAGGAAGGGCGGCACGGCGAGGTCGCTATGATATCGGCTAGACTGACTACTGATCAGAGTGATAAGTGACTGCAGTGGCCACTGACCAGTGTCACTAACCAGTGTCACTGACTTCTGACCACTGACTACTGACCACTTAATCCGACTACTGACCACTGACCAGTGTCAGCATTGCCACAATGAGCATCAGTATCAATGTCACTTCTTATAGTATTTGGTTGGTATAAGTCCCTCTTTCTTACCGAACTAACTATTACCGTATGATAATCGTGTTTGCTTTGGTGTGTATGCGACGACCGGGTTACGTTATTTCATAGATCTTTGTATTACGTAAAATGTCTATGGATGTCGATAATGACTTGCTATAATCTTAATTTTATTCTTTTGTTCTAACAAGAACAATTATATGCCGTTCACATTTCCTTGCGGTATGAACAAGACTTTTTATCGAGTCGACCCTCAAACAGCTCCACTTTGCTTCAGACCTGGGAGGTTACGTCATCACGCTATGGGTTGTCGTCGGTCTAGAGGTGTTGTTTCTGTACGGTCTTCTGGCCAAGACGCTGTGGAGCGTGTACCACAATGAGCGACTGCCCAAGCTCTGGCGGTCTGGAACCGTCTGGGCTAACTCAGTGCCCTCCGTAAGTGACCGGGTGCCCTTCTCTGCATGTTTGGAACATGCGATCCGACCTTAACGATGTTTTCGCACAACGTTGTATTCACATTTGGACTAGACCAAGATTCTTACAGATTAAAGACCAGTTGCTTGCAGTCTCGGTCCTGATTGATGTCTGCTCTTGACAAGTCTGGCAGCAATGCTTCACATATTGAGATTGGTAATTATTGAAACAACTGTTGAAGAACGTCAAATAACATTGTACTCTAACTCATCAGTGTATAAATTGTTTGAAATAAGTGTTAAACTGTGTACACTGATAAGTGCTTATTTTAAAGTTTCCTTTTATGACATTTACCTAGCCGTTTTCTTTCAGTTTGTTGCTTTGATGTGCCTCGGAAGCCTGATTGTCCCGGCATCCGACAGGCTTTTACGTGCGGTAAGGCTCATGTGAGTAAAGAGTCGGTTATTATTGCCGATAAACCTTTATTTACTAGAAGTCGGTTAGACGTGAATGATTCAAACGGTAGTGTTGAAAGACAAATATATTTCAAATAGCATTTCAGAGGATAGGTATTCAATTTACACAATGCCTAAAAGGAACAACAGGAAGAAAGGTATTTTTCATTATCGCCGGGATAAGCTAAATTGCCTAGGCACTGCCCGATTCATTTATGTGTGTGAGATTCTTTTAGAGCAGTGCGGTTGTGCCGACAGATATCTGAGTGTTTCCCTGTCCAAGTTCGTCGAGCTGTGCCTGCTGTACTTTGGCGGCGAGTCGCGACTGCTGGCTGCCGTGGAGGGCAGCGCCGTTCCCCTGGCTGTTCCCCCGTGCTGCTGCTGCTGCCGTCCCTGCTGTCCGAGACCCACAATCACAAAGTCAGTGCCGGAGGTCACAATGATCCCATCAGCTAAACACGCCGGTCTATATTTTAGCTTTCAGTTTAAGCCTGAATTTAGCCTAAAGCTACCGCACAGGTAACACACATTTTGCCTATTGTCTGGCTACAGCCCACCGATCTGTTCATGCGTTCTATTGTTGCATTATGTTCATGATTCAATGCATTTGAGTATCAATACATCTACATAATCTCTATGGCTTGTGGGCCGACAGACGTAGCATACGGGTGATGAAGGTGCTCGTCTACCAGTTGCCTTTCAGTGTCAGCGGATATTTCTTCTTCTCACTTTACCTGTACTCAGCAGGAATGCAAAATGTTGGAGAGGTAAGCAAAATGCCCGCGCTCTTTCGGATTTTACGTGATACAGAGCAGACATCTGCCTAAAATGGTTATCGAAATTACTTCTTAAGAAGTGCATACAAATGGTTATTAATCTGACGGTTCATCTTCCAAGGAGGGAGACATGGGGCAAGCCCCTTAGTTATTCTTTTTTGCCGCATGTTTTTAAAGGGCATCTTATGAGCAATTACTTCTTGACGTTCAGAACTCCTGCTTTCCGCTCTTAGGCATCTGGCGGTCCAGGATACGTGATTCTTATGGCACTGCATGCCGTGGCGTTTCTCCTTGGCATGTACGGCCTGATCATGCTTGAGACAACCACGAAAGGACAACTGCAGAGCCTTCGCTATCGGGTGAGTGAGCCTAGATCGTGTTAGTTAATTGTAGGGTAAATAACAGGCCTGTATCATAGAAATAGGACACGGCAGAAGGCTCTGTCCACCTACTCAGGGCAGCGGAAGGCTGTTTTCATTGACGACTGCTCGAGTCGAGTACCTATACACAGTCTTGTGGAGTTGTCGAGACGGATATCATGCAAAAAAGCGTACAATGATAATTAGCTCTAGCTAATTATCATTGCATAGCACTAGCTCTAGCTAATGCGTCGTGAAATAAATAAACAGAAATATCGATGGTCTAAGCCGTTTTTGATAAAGCTACTTACATAACTTGAAACATCAACTCCATTCTTTTAAAGATAAATTAATCATTTACCTATGTGTGGTTGAGAAAATGGCTGCCGTCGCTGGTTAACGTCCACACATAGGTATATGTGCTGTTTTTATTCATGTTATTTTGTATCTGCTTACAATGTTGTTGTTTGCAGGCAAAGTTCGCGCTAATGAAATTCACCGTGGTGATCATCAACATCCAAAAGTTTATCTTTAGCATCGTCATATCCACCGGTGGCTTTACATGTACTGCTTCAATGTCGCCAGAGGTCTACGGCGCGTGTGAGTTGACAAAGCGACTATCGATCATGCGGCTGCCTGCATGACATTGCATTGTGTGTTTTTTATGAACATGCTGTAAATTCAACAAAGGAATATCATATTTATGTTAAGTTGGCACGGATAAATCAATCAAACGTATAACTGGCCACTAATTACACGATTGAATTAAGCAAAATACCTAGATCGCTATGTTTACGTATACACCATGCAGTGTATCTCCATAACCTTCTTTATCTGCTATTGCTCATCACTTGTCTCGTCCCTTTCCCGTCCTGTACATATCTGCTGTATCTGGTTCAGTGTCTGACAGTCGCCGCCTGGCTGCCGGCAGTTATCCTCAACATTGTGATCGCCGCCGAGATGCTGCTGTTTGGCGTGCTCAACCACTGGGCCTACCAGGCGGACGGCAGGTCGGCTGACGACCTCACCGCGGCCGACCTGACCCCCTCCGGCAGCCCTGCCGACCGCGCCGACACTCCAACGTCACAGCAGACATGGACGTCAACGGCGCAACGCGAGAACGTCGGCGCAAAAACGACCAACGGATTCAGTGGAGCGTAGGCTGTGCCGCAATGACTGTTACATAACAGTGTTATTATGCTTCGCCTTCTTCGTTTCGGGTGACAATGAGATAAACAAAATTAAACCAAATGTTTCGGCTGTATTGATTGACTTTCTGTACTGGTTTAAAAAGGACAATAATAGAAAAAGATGTCTGAGAAATATGAGGAATAACAGTATGTCGCCTTTTTAGTGGTATTGGGTATACATACACTGTTTAGTGGATACATTGTTAGGTAGAACTCTACTCCCAACGACATCGTCATGTTTCAACCAACACATTGCACTTAATTAATGCATATGTTCGCATAGGCACCAGCCACCAGGTACTCAAGGTAGGCAACCCGCATTGCACTCTGCGTGCAATGCGCGTACCGGAGCGCCTTAGCCTTCGCAGAATTCGAACAACTACCATAAGGACAGTGCTTTGCGTTGCAGCCTCTGAATAATATGGAGAACATTTGGCTGCAAATGAGAGCATTAGGTGCCGAAATAAACACAACTGCTTGAATGGTCTATCTGTAGTTATAGTTTGCAAAGTAGTGTCTATTTAAGCCGTCCATCTGCTTTGTACCGAGTGTTTCAGCTCAATTTCGATAGTGCCCCTGGCCCAGGGCTGCGGAGTCGGGGTCGGAGTCGGAGTTGGAGTCGGTCGGAGTCGACAGTTCTGCCCGGAGTCGGAGTCGGTGTCGGAGTCGCCAAAATCTTACCGACTCCGACTCCGGAGCCGGAGTTAACGCTGCATGGCTCAACGTCATGCACTGCACTTGTTTGATTGACGATACTGCACTCGAAATAAGATTGTGTCGAAAAAGGCTATTTTGCTGTTTTAGACGATCGTTTTCAGCGGAAGAAGCAGAAGACGGGGAATACCCAGAATCCGCTTTCTAATTCTGCGTGCTATTTTTAATGCATACTTGCAACGCAAAGCCTTGGAACTTACAAGGGATCGTTTCAGGCAAGGTAAAAACATCTCCATTATGAACTTCAATATCATGCTATGGATTTAAATAGAACCGTCCGGAGTCAGAGTCGGAGTTTGAGTCGGAGTCGGAGTCGAGTTTTGCATAGGCGGCGGAACGGGGAGGGCAACGGGGCACCGTGCCCCCCTTTGATTTTGGCATTTTAACATTAGCCCTATGGGCGCTGCATGGAAAGAATGGGACCAAAAGTCGGCAGCCCCCCCCCCCTTATTGAAGGTGTTCCGCCGCTACCGGATTTTTGAAGCCGGAGTCGGAGTCGGAGTCGGAGTTACCCTAAAATTCATCGACTCCGCAGCCCTGGGCCCCCTGCAAACGGAATGCGCGCAGCAATGGTTGTAGCTATCTCGAACATAAAAAAGCAAGATTGGTCCAGAAAGATGCAAAAGGAATAAAGCTTAACCAAGCTTTACTTGTATCAAGCATCCTTACCTTACCTACATTTCTAAGGAAGATAGAGGGTCAGCTGCGCTGCACCGATTTGTAGGCTGAAAATTCGTTTTGTTATCATAACAGACTTTCTCTGTAGCTGCCTATGAGTAAAATTTTACACAATAAATTTGCTTAAAAATTGCTCAAAAATTAAAAGATTAGAATATTACTCAAGGAACCCGAGGAACGTAACATTTTACTTATAGGAATACCTACAGAGAAACGCTCTTTTGATGGCTAAAACAATTTTTTCCAGAATGCAAATAGGTGCAGCTCACCCTCCATCTTCATTGTCACATCGATCGGAGCTATCACTTTTGTTGCAGCAGCACCACTAGGTAGGTGATGGCGACGGTGGCAAGGGAGGCCAGCAGGCCGCTGTTGATGCTGCTGCCGCTGGTGACGCTGACCGACGGACGGAGCGCGTCGCTGAGCGCCACCAGCCGACCGGCCTCGGCGGCGGCGGCGGCCTGGCGCGGCGGCCAGCGCAGCAGCAGCGCGGCTGGCCGGCCGGCGGCCTCCTCCAGCCGCTGGCCCTGCAGGCACAGCAGCGCCGCCAGTACGGCCGCCTCCGCCGCCGACCAGAGCACGTACCCGGTGACGGCGTCGAACGGCCGCGCCACGGACAGGGTGCCCAGCTCGGCAATGGTCACGGCCGTGTGCTGCCCCACAACGCAGAGCGCCAGGAGCGCATAGGTGCCGCTGAAGAGGGCCGTGGCGTCGGCGGCCGCCAGGAAAAGGGTCCGCTGGCAGGCGATGGTGGCGGCGGCGCTGCGCGGCGGAGACGGCGACGGTGAGCCACCTGATGAGCCAATCACGCTCAGACCTAGCTCGTGAAGCAGTAACGGAGGAGACTTGACGTCGATGTCGTGTGTCCTGGCTGGCTGACGCTCTGACGTGTTGTTCACCGAGTGGCTGGTAAGCTCTTCGGGTGCTGGATTCAGCAGTTGTTTCAATGTTGTTGAAATGGCGTCGAATTCATCAATCAAGACGGACATGAGGTGGATGCTTAGCGTGAGCAGAGCAGCTCCTCTCAGCTTTGTTGTGATCATCAATGCACACCGAAGGACACCCGACATCGTGGGTATTCCGTTAAGCACTGCAGTTTCCCCATCATGGATAGTGAAAAAGACCCAAACGACCTTAGCCAGCGTAACCAGACCGATCAGAAGAAAGTAGCCCCGGGAGCCCGAGTTGCTGGGGAAGCCGCGCAGTCGACGTGCCTCTAAAAGATCCCCGGCGTTGCGGAGCAGAAGTGCAGCTCTCCGCCCCCGGGAGAACGTCAGCCACACAGACGCAACCATGGTGGCCAAGGGAACCAGCTCGAACAGAATAGCCATGTGCAAATTCACCCGGTAATGCTGCAAGACAGACGGCGAAAGATAACTGGCAGCGTTGAAGACGAGCAGCGCGCCCGCGACGACGGCGAGTGCGGCCGGCGCACTGCAGAGCCGGTACTGGTAGGGCGGTGTGCGGCTGAGGGCGCCCACCACCGGCAGGCCGCCAGTGAGCACGGCTGCCACCCGCCACGGAGCCGGCCAGCCGGCGAGCGCGTCCGGCGGCCGCTCGGCGCCGGCCATGCCGTCCTACCGTGACGCCGCCGGTCACTGGTGGAACGTGTCCCGCGCCCGGCGCTCCTCGCAGCGGCGGCTCGGCCGGTCGACTGGCCTCCGTCCGCGCCGTCGGCGTTATTCAGTAATGCGGCGAGCGTCGACATTTCAACGACTGTCCGACGGTCAGAGGCCCGATCATCACCACAGTGCGACACTGCATTGACGGTTACTTGTTGAGGAACAATGAGCACATCAGTGGAACCCGGCTACACTAGTCACTAGTCAGTACCTTGAGCTTCACCTTTCTACTTGTCTACTTGTATTTGTGTGATACTCCTGTAGTTGAACCGACGATTTTTACTCGTAAGTCTGCTTTGTTTTATGGTTTTGATATGAGTGACCATATAATCGATTTCGAACCAGAGCCTCCTCTAAGGAATTTTCACCGAGGGGGGGGGGTGGCAGAGGCTCAGAGGCCAAACCTAGGGTAGGTACCCCCAAATCCAGTTTTCTCATCGGATTGAGGAATTAGGCCACTGATTTTTTGTCACAGAAATGGTAGGCCACCTAACCCTACTGGTGGATCCAGGTCGGCTGGGTGACATTAGAGGTAAATATCTCCCGCAGCGTCCAGAATCGACGAAAATTTCCGGCTTTTCGACTTTCTAAGAATGAAAGAAAATGCCTTTATTAGAAAAAAATGTATTAAACGGCACGGCAGTGCGTAAGGAATCTAACCGACCCCAGAAAGTGTGAGGGTCAATCTTGCCCGCTGATACTGGAAACAATTAAGCAACAGCAACCTGCCTGAAAACAGCTCACCATCCTAAAAAGCTACCTGCTTGAAATTGACTTAAGAAACAGGCCACAGGTCAGTAGTAATGAGGGTCAGGTACCAGGGTCATGAAATTTTCAGGAAATGTGTAGTCAATTGATAATCACGAGAATACTGAAAGTTTTGCCACGCTGGGCCACTTTTTACGTGAGTTATTTGCGAAAAACCTAGGGGTGGATCTATCTAACCCCTCAATAAGTGTAAGGGCTTATCGATCCCAGTCTCGGCACTGAACAAAACTTTTCTCGTGCTACAAAGCTCCGCCACATTCTTATTTGACCGCGGTAGCAACTAGCAAGATTTCCTCTTCAAGAATGAACCCGTCTCCCGAATAAAGTAATACTTCTCAGTGTTGAACCGTGAGCGTTTGACTGATTGAGAGGGCGACCAGCCGGGGCGCTTCCTTCTCAAAGGAATTCACCAATGACCATGCCCCGTTCGGGCTTCAAGTCGTTGTTCGCAGTGGTTTCCGCATGCGATAGGATGAGCGATAAACGATAAACGATAATTATCGCTGTTAAGTAACTCGGTTATCGTTATCGTTTATCGATAAATTTTCAAAATTATCGCTCATCCACTTATCGCAAGTTACAAAAATCATGAACGATAAACGATAAAATGTAAAACGGGCTGATGGAAAAATGGAACCAAGGGCAACATGGCCCTCAGTGGAGGCTGTCTTGAAGAGGGAGAAGAGGGAGGCCAACACTGACACAGAGCATGTGGCAGATGCTGAGCTTGACTAAAATGTGTTTTTGTCCTTTTCTTTGCAGTATAAACCTACTCAATACTGGATCAATCCAGTATTGAGTATATGCTACAAATAAACTTTAAGTAGGTACACTTATTTAAGCTGTATTATTTAAGTCGTTTTATCGTTTATCGTTTCGCTATCGCTGTTAAAAAACAATTATCGTTATCGTTTTATCGCTTTATCGCTCTCGCTGTTTTTTTAATTTTTTGTCGTTTATCGTTTATCGTTATCGCAAACCTTTCTTATCGTTTTATCGTTATCGAAGGTCCGAAAATTAGTTATCGTGGAAAGCACTGGTTGTTCGATTATAAAATTTGCAATGTCTGAACTCATTGCGCGTCTCATCTTAAAGGAAATAGTTCACTTTCACGAAATTATTTTTTTTGCAATGGATTTATGATTTTTTATGTTCAAAATGATCAGCAAAGAAAATAAAACCTATTTATAACAAAAGATTATTTTCTATATTTTGATATAAGAAGAACTTTTCAGTTTCTGTAAGGCACAGGCGATCCAGTATGAAAAGAGCATGGGTTCCGAAAATTCTTCAGAAACTAGAGAAACTATCGCGGCCACCGGCATTTGGGCGATCTGCTGCTGCTGAATGTCCTTATTGATCAGTACGAGAATTTCTCTAGAGTTCTCGTAGATAATTTCTCTAGTTTCTGAAGAATTTTCGGTACCCATGCTCTTTTCATACTGGATGGAAATATATGCAAGGCACACATCCTCAACGCAAGACACCTTTTTCGGGACGAGAAATAGAATATCTTTGCCTAGGGTGATCGTTGGGCTGTAAAAGCTCCTGATTTATGCTCGTCTCAGCCCAGGCTACGGAACTGCTATTCCAGTTCAAAACCCATGTTAAAAAGTGAACTATTTCCTTTAAGCGGATCTGTAAAAAAGCCTGTAGATAAGAAACAACGATATAAGGAAACTAAAATCAGTAACGTGTGTCACGAGTCTGTGTCATCAATATACCTCAAAGAATTGAGAACAACAGGACCCGTGTATTCTCGAGCCACACGCCAAACAATAACAACCTTTGACCTTGAGCCGCCCGTATTTACTGCACATATATGGCAGCTCAGTGGCAGCCATATTATTACGTCACATCTCCCTTTCCTTACCGCCAAAACAGTAGGCACTACATCCCATCATCGAACAGGAACAGCAAATGAACATAGCTTCTGAACATTGAGCAGTATACGCGAAGACGAGCGTCAGAACACCCAAAACACTGATGCATAACGGGTAAGCCTAAACAGGGAAAATGCGCACACAACGATAGCACAATTTCCACCGGCATGTAAGCACAAAACCTTTAACTGCGCAAACACACGACATCACAAGTTCCATCGATACCCGATACCCCGCCCCTTTCTCATTTAGTGACGTAGTCAGACAGGTACCCTGGCGGATGAGATTCGCGCGACGAGCGGCGGACAGGCGTTGGTACTGCCGAGGGAGCGGGACGGACAGGGATATCAGGTGGCGCTGAAACTGGAGGCGCCAGCAGGGGATCAGGCATATCTGGGACCTGTGGGTCACCTGCCTCATCCGATGAGGGACTCTGGAAAGGGCGTGGCACCTGTTCCCGGGAACGGAAAGCAGGCAAGTTCAGTACCGGTGGGTTACGCACTGGAGTATTTCGCTCATCACAGTCCACATCAGAGCCCACATCTCCAGCCAGAAGCTGCCGCCGATTCCGGCGGTAAAACACGCCATTCACCTTCACAAGGTACGAGCGGTGGGTCAGTGGCCTCACGCACACACCGAGTGACCATCTAGCCTGTCCGGGCAACCGCATGCGGATGGACTGGCCCGCTTCCAGTGGCTTGAGAGAGTGGGTGCCTCGGTTGTAGTATGTCGCCTGTTTAGCCTTTCGTTGCAGCAATTCGCGCGACACATCTGGGGAGCCGGGTGCCGTGAAATTTGAGCGCACCTGAGGCACGAAAGTTCGAGCAGGGCGACCAAACATGAGTTGTGCCGGAGAGACACCTATACCTTCCGTCGGTACGTTCCGCCAAGCAAGGAGAGCCCACTGTGGGTTTCCGCCCGACTCGAGTGCCTTTTTGAACAAGCGCTTTACCGTGCGAACAGCGTTTTCGGCTTTCCCGTTTGACTGGGGATAGCTCGGGCTCGAAGTGCAGTGAACAATGTCCAAACGATCTGTGTATGCTTTGAACTCTGCACTGGCGTAGCACGGGCCATTATCACTGACAATGGTTTCTGGGATCCCATACCGCGCGAACTGAGCTGACATGGCTTTTATGACATTGGTAGTTGACATTGAAGCCAACCGATCAACTTCGACAAAATTACTGTAGTAGTCAACCAAAACGCTGTATGCTACACCGTTCAGCTCAAACAAGTCAACAGCTATCTTTTGCCAGGGACGATCTGGCAGCTCGTGTGACATCATGGGCTCCCTAGACTGAGCAGGGTGATGTGCCAGGCACACTGTACATTTGAGGATGGTCTCCTTCAAAGCGCTGGTCATACCCAACCAGAAAACACACTCACGCGCAAGTCGAAGGGTTGAAGCGAGTCCAATGTGAGCACGATGCAGCTCAGTTATCACTTCTCGCTGCTGACTGAAAGGAACCACGAGGCGCCGGCCTTTAAAGATCAGTCCGTCTTGCACGGCCAGTTCGTCCCTGAACGGAAAGTAGCCCCTCAGAAGCTCAGGAACGTCTCGGCGATGCGCCGGCCAGCCAGAGCGCAGCTGCCTCAGCAGCTGAGACAAAATGGGATCATCGGCGGTAGCTGATCGCAGCTTCATCAGTCTCTGGGGGGAGATCGAAACGCCTTTCGTCAGATCAACGTTTTCAAGTTGCACTGCACACGCCGACTGACTGGTTTCAGGCAGAGCTGCTCGGCTCAGGGTGTCGGCCACGAGCACTAGCGATCCTTTAGTGTACACTATGGTTATGTCATATCGCTGCAGTGCGAGCAGCATGCGCTGAAGCCGAAGAGGAGCATCCCCTAGGGGCTTTGCCATGATGGCCTCGAGCGGCTTATGGTCACTCTGTACTGTGACCGGCCTACCATACACGAACTGATCGAGCCGGGTCATTGCAAACACTATGGCGAGCAGCTCTTTCTCGATCTGAGAGTACGCTTGCTCTGCTGCAGTAAGTGAACGCGAACAATACATGACGGGATGTCCATCCTGAAGCAAAACCGCGCCTAGACCGGCTTTGCTGGCGTCACACTGTACGGTCGCTTCTCGCCTGGGGTCATAGAAGCAGAGGACCGGCGCCGATGTCAGAAGGTCTTTTATGGTTTGGAATGCATTCTCACATGCCGGACTCCAGAACCAGCCGACATTGCGATGAGTCAGCTGACGTAGGGGATGCAGCACATCGGAAATGTTGGGCACAAACCGAGACAGATATCCCACCATGCCAAGAAATCTTTTGAGCTCGATTACTGATGTCGGGGCAGGAAGATCAGTGATGGCCTGCACTTTGGCAGGATCGGCGTGTAGGCCGCGATCGCTGAGAAGGTGACCCATCCATTTCACCTGACTCACCTTAAATTTGAATTTGTCAGGGTTCAGACGGAGATGACGGGAGCGTGCGCGATCGAGAAATGCCAGAAGGTTCTTATCGTGGTCCAGAGTCGCCTCTGCTCGCGTCTGACCACAGCCATAGATGACAAAGTCGTCCGCAATCACCTCTACACCGGAAAGGCCGCTCACCAGTTCATGCATCGTTCGCTGCCACACCTCTGGTGCCGACTTTATACCATACGGGAGGCGTTCCCAGCGATATCTGCCGAAGGGCGTGTGGAAACAGCACAGGTTGGCAGATGCGTCTGACAATCCTACTTGCCAGAAGGCTCGACTGGCGTCTACAACAGAGAACACCTTGGCACCACTAAGGCGAGAGGTCACTTCATCAAGTGTGGGCGTCGGGTAGTGCTCTCTCAGCACCGCCTCGTTGAGAGATTTTGGGTCTAGACACAGACGAATGTCTCCAGATGGCTTGTCTACAACCACCAGGTTAGAGACCCACGGCGTTGGGCTGGTTACTGGGGTAATCAGACCGTGCTTTGTCAGATCATCAAGCTTTGCCTTCAGCTTATCTCGAACATGTACACGCACGCGACGCGGCGGATCAGCCACCGGACGGACCGTAGGATCAGTGACGATCGCATAATCACTCAGCACACACCCGATCGAAGATGTGTCAAATACATCATGATACTCGCGGAGGACGGTCTCAGCTGTCAGCAAAGATGGCTGCTGTCCGATCATAGTCCCACCCTGTCGCGTGTCTGTGACCGCGGAAGTCGGTGTCGGCACGGCAGGGGCGCTGTCGGTTCTATATACATGGGGAACGTAGTCCAATGGGTCGACATCATTGACCTGAAGAAGGCCCAGGTCAATGGATGATGACAGGCTGAGGATCGGGGTGACATCCTGTGCGACTACACGGCACAAAATCACTACACGTCGTTTGTCGGGCCCTTTGTACAGACTTAGCCGGGCTCTCCCCACTGTTGCTACCACAGACCCGTCATACATGCGCAGGTGAGTGACTCTGTTTTGCAAATGCCTGTGGGTGACGTCACCTGACACTCGCTCATATTCGTTGATACCGATAACATTACACTGGGAGCCGGAGTCAACCAGGAATCTGATAGATTCCCCATTGTCGGCGTGCATAGTTTTGTATACCCTGGAGGGGTCCATACCTGTTTCGAAAACAGCGCCCACGATGTATGGGTCTTCATCTTCAGGCGTTTGTACCGCGGCGACTCTAGGCCCACTGCCGTCTGGTGGGCGGCGCCGACCGTCTCCAGACCCGAACTGGCGTTGTCGAGGCGCACGAGCTCCTCCCGCGGCGCCCAGCGCTGCGCCACTGGTTCCAGCCGGTCGTCGCCGTGGGCACGCTATCCCTCCGGAGAAATGATTCTGGCCGCCGCACACGTTGCACGTTTTGCCCCACGCGGGACACTGTGTCCGTCTCATCACATGCACCCGGGCACAAAAGCGGCACTGGGCGCTCACCGTAACAGAAGACGGGGGTGCGACCGGCTGGGACACTGCGCAGACATCATTAGTGTTCTGTTGCGGCTCTTCTGAGCGCGCACCGGCCATACTCTGTTGGTCACGTGTTGACGCCTCTTCGGAGATGGCAATATTTATCGCTTCCTGCAGCGTCAGCTTCGACTGACGAAGAAGAGCGCGCTGTGTCCCCTGGTCGCGCACACCAATGACCAGGCGGTCACGAATCATGTCGTCCACGTCATGAAATTCACAAGTAGCCGCCAGTGAGCGCAGGGCAGCCAGGAAGCTTGTCACACTCTCATCCGGACGCTGTTGCCGGGTGTTGAACGTGAAACGTTCCAAAATGACGTTTCGTCGTGGGTTGCAGTAGGCTTCAAATTCGGCCAGGAGGGCCGGAAGGCCGTCCGCCTCCTGCCACTCAAAATGTGTCGCGATCTCTTGTGCACTGACACCTGCACAATTAAAGAAAGTCCCTAGCTGCACCGCCATAGGCTTCGCAGCCAACTCACGGGCCGCAGCATAATACTGCCAGTCTCGGCTCCATCTTGCCCACTCGGCAGCCATATTTGCCGCCCCGAAATTCAACTCGGTTGGCGATCGAAGATTCATAGTGAGAATACAAGTAATGAAGGCAATGCCAACCAGGCAAAATATCAACACGAAGGGTTCAGTTTACTTCTGACACCATGTCACGAGTCTGTGTCATCAATATACCTCAAAGAATTGAGAACAACAGGACCCGTGTATTCTCGAGCCACACGCCAAACAATAACAACCTTTGACCTTGAGCCGCCCGTATTTACTGCACATATATGGCAGCTCAGTGGCAGCCATATTATTACGTCACAACGTGGTGATCGTGGAGATAGTCTGGATTGTTTTGGTAAGCTTTTAGTCAGGGATGCGGAGCCGTGGAAATTTCAAACGGCTCCGGCTCCGGCTCCGGCTCCGGAGAAAAAAATCGGCTCCGGCTCCGGCTCCGGCTCCGGGTGAAATGTTATGGCGGCTCCGGCTCCGGCTCCGGCTCCGAGTAAAATGGTCCGGCTCCGGCGGCTCCGGCTCCGGCGGCTCCGGCTCCGACTCAGTACATCCCCTATGCAATCAATTAAATACGGGTGGAAGAAAAATTGGATTGGTTATACGCGTTACCTACTCTTGCCATGACCGGCTCACCGCGTCCCCGCGCAAACGCACCTCGGAGAGAACTGGCAGAACAAAGGACTAGGAAGCGATGGCATTGGAAACGCAGTCGCCGCAAATGGCAACTTAGCGGCCCCCCGGCTAAGAGGCGTTGGGCGAGGGCAGACAGATGCCGGAGAGAGCGAGGGAGAGGGAGGGAGGGTGGGAGGGAGAGAGATAAGCGGAGCGGGCGGGCTGGGGCGGGAGGCACGAGGGGAGCGCGGGATATAGGACAGTCAGAGACGAGCCAGCGAAGGGGACGGACCATCGGTCATGGTCTCAACAACTTTTTGGCTTCTCTCGTGGTGTGACACTCGGAGTGACAGAGAGGCTATGAATAGTGACGGCGAAAGAGGGAGTGGTGGCATGGTACTCAGAAGGGCGGTGCCTTGCGATTCAGCGCAGCGCAGGAGCTGGGAGGCAGAGAACCAACCGCCTGTGACGACTCATGACGCGAGGTTTGTCAGTAGATGCCACTGACTACAGGTAAGCGAAGGGCCGAGTTCGCTGTTGTGTAACTGGCCGGGTGCCGCGACAGCTTGACGGGCGCAGTAACCTGCGCTCTCGAGAGCAGGGATGCTTTTGTGGGCAGACCGCGAAGGCGCCCCTTTCCAGCTCTTGGGAGCTTATTGTCATGGCTGTCAGCTGTCGATGTATAATCAGCGTGTAGACAGAATTCGCGCGACTTGCGTCATTGCGGAGTCACGCGCTGTCTAATCTGGATGGTGTTGTCCGACATCTCGTGCTACAAAGCGAATAGGCTGGCAATATCGGCTTGGGAGAGACGGTCGTGGACGTTTTTTTTTTCGTTGCTTCGTCAAGAGCTTTTGGACGCTTGAAGCGCGCCACCGCGGCAGATGTGGTCGTGGGAGCGCTCCGTGAGGACCCAGACTGTGGGTTAGCGCCTGCCTGGTCTCCTGTTGTCACAGTTCGGTGACTGGCTGCCAGCGCGACTGCCGACTGCGGCGGGGGAGCGGGACGGGGTCAGACGTCCCTGTGCATATGGAGTGTGGCAGCGGCTGAGGGGCCTGCTGGTTGGTGTTTGAAGCCTTTGGGGGCTGGTGGGTGCGGTGCGGTACCCTTGGGGGCGAACGCGGTCAGTGACTTGGTGACCTCGGTTGACATTTTCAGGGCTGATATCAGGTTTGGCCCGTGACCACCTGCACCCTGGTATCGCCGCGCGCTGCAACGGTGCAGCGGCGCTTAACCCCTGCGCTCCGGCTGAGCGAGCGGAGCCGGGTGGGTGACGTCATCGAAGCACGCCGCACGCAGCCAGATCTAGGCGCCGGGCCAGGGCCCTGTTTACGGCCGCTGCCAGCGTGCGCTATCTCACGTGCTAATTGGGTTTCCATGACATCCGTACATCCGTATCTCCAACCCTGCCAAAATGTCGTCACATGTGTGACTTCAGCTCGCAAAATGCGATAGCAGCGTGGTAGCAGCATCGAGTGAAATACCGCTCAAAAACGGGAATGGTCCTCCCTTTGTCCGCGCGGTCCACGGGCCCGCCGGCGCCGCGGCGCGGCGGACCGGGCAGCGGAGACCCAATAAAGTAAACAGCCCGGCCTTATCGGTCACGGTGTCGTATGGCGGCGCCCGGCCGCATGGCTCACAGCTGGGGCATGGGTGACTGTCCGCTGGAGTCTTGGGACGGGCAGTGGGACAGGGCCAAGGAGAGAGGAACATGGTGTTGAGGGAGAGTCGAGGGGGCAGTGACCCTTCCGGAACGGGGTGATCGTGGTGGTCCCAGATGATGTCTTATTGAGTTTTTACAGACCTAAAGCGCGCGCAGCGGCGCGCCGTGTCGGTTCGCAGGCACACCACGGATACCTATCGGCTGTCGCTGTTCCGGACCACGCGGGCTCTGACGTGCCCGCGTCTTTGCGTGGCTTGACCGCCTTTGCCGGGCGAGGAGCAGCCGCGTGAGCGGTCGAGGGTCAGTTTGACCGAATGGTGCGGGTCGCTGGTTGTTGGCAGAATACAATGCGACGCCGCGGACCGATTAGTGGTGTCATCCGGGATTGGACCTTCGGAATTCCGTTTTGTCTAATGTTCATTTCGGGAGATGGTTGAACAAAGGTTACACTGGCTTGGACAGCTCGAACAATCACTTGCTCGGGGGACGAGAAACGCTATTTCTTCTATCCCTGCTTCCTGGTTGATAAGAACGAGCTTAGACAAGCTTCGGCAGGGTGCGCTGAAGGAGCAGAGCGCCGGTGGCGACCGGGCAAGCGCCGCGGGATGACCGGGGGGGGGGGAGGGTGGCAGACCGCTACGGGCGCCACTATCGCGGGTCTGACGGGCGGCCGTGGGAGCTCTCGGGAGTTTCCTGCCCTTGAAGGCGACAGTAGCTGTCCTAGCTCTCGAGCTTATTGCCCTTGGGGGCGAGCTTGCTGCCCCTTGGGGGCGAAGGTAGCTGTTATAGCCCTTGGGAGTTAATTGTCTTTGGGGCGACGATGGCTGTACAAGCTCTTGAGGAGCTTATTGCCCTTGGGGGCGACTGAGGCTGCACGGGCTCTTGGGAGCTTATTGCCCGTGGGGGCGACGATGGCTGTACAAGCTCTTGGGGAGCTTATTGCCCTTGGGGGCGACTGTGGCTGCACGGGCTCTTGGGAGCTTTGCCCTTGGGGGCGACGATGGTTGTACGAGCTCTTGGGAGCTTATTGCCCTTGGGAGCGACGACGGCCGTACAAGCTCCTGGGAGCTTATTGTCCTTGGGGGCGACTGAGGCTGTACGAGCTCTCGGGAGCTTTGCTCGTGGGGGCGACTGAGGCTGCACGGGCTCTTGGGAGCTTTGCCCTTGGGGGCGACGATGGTTGTACGAGCTCTTGGGAGCTTCTTCCTCTTGGGGGCGAGCTTGCTGCCCTTAGGGGCGGCGGTAGCCGTACGAGCTCTTGGGAGCTTATTGCCCTTGGGGGCGACGATGGCTGTACAAGCTCTTGGGAGCTTATTGCCCTTGGGGGCGACTTGGGAGCTTATTGCTCTTGGGGCGAGCTTGCTGCCCTTGGGGGCGACGGTAGCCGTCCGAGCTCTTGGGAGCTTATTGCCCTTGGGGGCGACGATGGCTGTACAAGCTCTTGGGAGCTTATTGCCCTTGGGGGCGACTGAGGCTGTACAAGCTCTTGGGAGCTTTGCCCTTGAGGCGACGATGGTTGTACAAGCTCTTGGGAGCTTATTGCCCTTGGGGGACGGTAACCGTACAAGCCTTTGGGTGCTTAATGCCCTTGGGGGCGACGAGCTTGCTGCCCTGGGGGCGACGGTAGCCGTACGAGCTCTTGGGAGCTTATTGCCCTTGGGGGCGACGATGGCTGTACAAGCTCTTGGGAGCTTATTGCCCTTGGGGGCGACTGAGGCTACACAAGCTCTTGGGAGCTTTGCCCTTGGGGGCAACGATGGTTGTACAAGCTCTTGGGAGCTTATTGCCCTTGGGGGCGACGGTAACCGTACGAGCCTTCGGGTGCTTATTGCCCTTGGGGGCGACGATGGCTGTACGAGCTCTTGGGAGCTTATTTTTCCTTGGAGGCGGGCTTTCTGCCCTTGAGGCGACAGTAGCTGTACGAGCTCTTGGGAGCTTATTGCCCTTGGGGTGACGATGGCTGCACGAGCGCTTGGGAGCTCATCGCCCTTGGGGGCGAGCTTGCTGCCCCTGGGGCGACGGTAGCTCTTGGAAGCTTCTTGCCCTTGGGGGCGACGTTGGCTGTACGGGCTGTTAGGAGCTTTTTGCTCTTAGGGGCGAGCTTGCTGCCCTCGAAGGCGACAGTAGCCGTATGAGCTCTTAGGAGCTCACTGCCCTTGGGGGCGACGATGGATGACTGTATGAGCTCTTGGAAGCTTATTGCCCTTGGGGGCGAGCTTGATGCCTGCCCTCGAAGGCTTCAGCACACGTCCGAGCTCTTGAAGCTTGCCTTTGAGGGCGACGACGGCCGTTCGAGCTCTTGGGAGCTTATTGCCCTGGGAGCGAGCTTGCTGCCCTTGGGGGCGACGGTCGCTGTACGAGCTCATGTGAGCTTTGCCCTTGGGGTGACGATGGCCGCGCAAGCTTTTTTTTCCTGTCGTGACCCCACTGTGGCGGGTGGTTCCAGGAGCAGGAACTGCCACCAGTGGGCGATCGGCCTTTACTCAGCCAACAGAGTGTCTAGATCACGGAGGCGTCAGGCATGAGCCCAATCGGAGTTCACTGAACCATCGTAAGCTGACACCCATCTCGGCTGCATTGGGGGGTGGGGGGGGGGGGGGTGGGAAGAGACGGTGCTGGGAGTCGCAGTCCACTGCACTGGCTTCAAAACAATGGCCGTCACCTGATGACCGGTCCTCATGTTCTGGGGATGCAATAGACGTGAGGGGGGGGAGGAGCAGACAGGAAGTTGATTGCGTACTGTGGGATACTGGGGATATTCGGCTTTTTCATTCACTTGATGGCCCATGACGTACTATTGGTCTCAAGATAAGGGCCCAGGCGACCTGTAGTTTTGATGCGGTGAATATCCTTACCCTCGCCACAACTCGGGCCGAGTGCACCCCTCCTCCCAGCCAGCGCCACCCCCACTCGCATTGTGGCGAGGATGAGGGTATTCACCGCATCAAAACTACAGGTCGCCTGGGCACTTATATTGAGACCAATAGTACGATATGTTTTACTGCCTTGTACCTACTGTCAAACCGAACTAGGTCAATTATTTTTTCCTCTTCAAAAAATAAAAAGGAGCCGGAGTCGCCCCCTTTTTTGGCGGCTCCGGCTCCGGCTCCGGCTCCGGGCTATATTGTTTCACGGCTCCGGCTCCGGCTCCGGCTCCGGGCAAAATATGCCGGCTCCGGCGGCTCCGGCTCCGACTCCGGCTCCGGCTCCGCATCCCTGCTTTTAGTGAAATTTTCTCATTTTTTACATGATTGGTTCAACTGCGCCCCCCCCCAGTAACGCGATTTTAGCTCCACTGGTGGGGGGGGGGGGGGGGGGGGCAGCGGCATCACTGGGGGGCGCCCCCCCAGTTTACATGTTTGAGGAGGCCCTGTTTCGAACCCATCATTGACATGTGAACATACCTTAGGCTTAGGCTTTATGCTGATTATGTTTTTCTCACGATCCTGCGCATGACTGAAACGTAGCCGGAGGCAAATATTTTTTTAAGTTGCCGGGCATTATGACTGTAATTGAGGGGACTTACACCGGCTCCATTCTATCCTGGAATCGGCTCTTTCGAGTTTAACCCGCCCATGACTGGGGTATTTTCCATAACGCAAGTGACTGGGGGGGGGGGGGGGGGGGCTCTCCAGAGCCCCTATCTCCGAAACTACTGGGCCGATCATCAAAATTCAAACGGCAGCGCTGGAAAAACTGTCGAGTGAGACCTATTTTCATTGGCCTCGAGGTCACCGATGACGTCACAGGTCAGGTCAAAGTAAAAATCATCGACATTTTTGCTAGTTCACAATTTGGGCTCTGGCCTCTGGGCTCTGACCGCCGGCTTACAAGTCCGATCAGGCTAATC